TGCTAAGAGTGCTCGGCTCCCAGACCCAAAAAGATGCAATAACTGGGTAGAACGTTCACACAGGGACTAGCAATACTCCAATACATCCAGGGGTCTACAAACGGAGAACCAAAGTTGATCTAATATGAGTAATAACTCGAAAAAAAAAACCTAATAGGTGTGGCGGTATATGTTTTATATAAAGTTTTAGTGAATAGGGGAAATTGAATCAAAATAGACTTCTAACGGGTCTAAAATTACAAAATGAAATAATAGAACGAAAAGGAAGTGACTAAAATACCTACTTTGGCCTCTTTTGAATACAGAAATAAAAAGCTGGTCAACTTGAGTTTCTAGGATCAGCTATTCGGCAATACCTACTGGTGCTAAATATTATTTTTCGCCGCCCAGGAAATGGGTTGTAAACCCAAATTATCCATAAAAAAGTCGGCAAAATATGCCTAGAAGAGAACCTTCCTTCTTTTCATCAGGCTGACCTCCAATCTGATCAACCTCATGACCTTCTTATGTCCAATCAAGTTCAAATACCATTTCAGAGTTTTCTGGTTACTGATGTGTCACGTTGAGGACCTATGTTGAGGACATTGGACTGTCCAATTTATGGTTAGTTGGAATTTCGAAAATTATGACATTTGACAAACTAGTGTTTATTTTTGATCTCAGAGGTACTATCAAAACAATATTATTTTGGAAACGATAATCGAGAGTGAAAATACTTACTTACTATCTGCCGCAATAGAAGAAAATTCAAACAGAAGCAAAATGCATTTGCAGGTCGCCTGCTAATTTGCGCATGGAGAAACGGTGCCGCAAGGCCTTGCAATCACTTTGACATTTTTGACATATAAAACTGGTGAATCAGTAGCGCCCAAACACTTTTTTCCGTAATTTGGCCCGAAATTCATTAAATTCGCATACGGTGCCATGTCTGATAACCGATATGAACTTCGTCGCGTCAGGTTACGAGTTCCTGTCATAATTAAATAAGAACAAGGTTATGTTGAACATCTGTCATAACAGTCTCTCAAGGATATTACAAACAACAAAGCAAAGGATTGCTCGATTGAATCAACTTTATGGTGTAGGTACTACTAAAGTCTGTTTTTGTTAAAATATAAAATTCAAAATGACATTATGTTGGCAACACAATGTAAAATTGTCAATGCTTTCAAATTTTTTATGTATAAGGCTTGTGTTGCCAACATAGCTACTAAATTTTTGACTTGGGGAATTATCTTTAAAAAAAAAACTGACCTCAGACTTTTCTTCAACTTGCCTTGAGTCAGATTCCCTTACTTTCTTCTTTCCTATAAGATCTTCCTTGATCAACCTCTTCAGTTCTACCCCCGACGCTATTAGAGCTATTCGAGGGCTAGGGGGCCTCATTCTCCTGCTTCTTTCTTACAAAACAAAACCAAACCAGGAAAAAATAATGATGGACGCAACGAACAGGAAAAAGTTTACGATGTAGGGGAGGGAGATCCCAGAATCGGTCGGTGTGCTTGATGATAGCGCAGGCTAGCCCCGACCCAGCCGACTACTGTGCAGCGCCCTTGGCAGGGAACCAGGCCGAAGCGCAGTTTACAGAGACTGGAACAAGATCAAGGGACAAACAATGCCGAGAATTCCTTCCTACGAAGGTATGCTGCCCCACGAATTCTGGGGGAGGCAAAAATCTGAATCAAGGTAACGATAGAGGACGAAGAGCGTTAACCACAATGATAGACCTCACATAGGACGAAACAAAAAGCAAGTCAATCAGCGTGACAAAGACTCAAACCCAAGACACAAAAAAAAAGGAATTTGATGGAGATATTCCCAAGCCCAGACTGTGAAGTCCAAATATTCAAGAAAAAGGAAAACACGGAATACTTCATCCTTAGAGAAAGCCTGGACATGATAATAGCACTAGGAGGGAAACTGGGCAAAAACACCAAACAAAACACGAAACGGGAAATTAAGGATATCCAAAAGGATCTGAGGAAACAAATAAAGGTACTAAAAAAGTCACACGTCACAGAATGGCTAGACCAACATAGGTGCGAAAAACCCGAAAAACTAACCATAACTAAACAGACACACAAACAAGCCCAAGAGGCTCGAGAAAAAAAACAGAGAGGCAGGAGCACAAACGACAGAATCAGTCGATACCCAAATCCTGAAAGATGGGGAAGCGGAGGAGAATGAGAATCTGGAACTTCTGAAGATCTGCTCAATGTGTAAAACCAAACTAGCAGAGACTAGAGAAGGGCAAACACAAACCACAACTTGGCATAACAAAACAGACCTTACACTTAATACTTTAAGGACATAAACACGTATGAGAGGTGGCTCAATGTGGTGAATAGGAAATGGGACGAAAAGTACCATACAAACACGGCAATTAAAGTAGTTAACCCGCGGAATACAAAAACCGAGACAGTAAAAGTGGTGATGACGGAGCCAACAGATGAAAAAATGGAAAGGGGCATACAATTACTGTATAAAAACGGATATCAGGAACTGGCAGAAACGGAAGAAACCTTTGCTGTTCTGGAACAAAGATCCAGATGGAAAAAAAATACCGACACCGAGGTCTGGCAAAAAGTCATATAAATAAGACAGGGAGCAAGGGAGGAAGACCTATAGGAGAGACTAGAGAAACTGAAGCAAGAAACCAAAGAAGACCACTGGGTGGCAATACATCATATCGAAATGGACGGAATCGAGAGATTGAAGAAAGATGTAGAAGCAATCTTCCATAGTGGGAATACACAGATGATTGTCTACACTGATAAAACAACAGAGAAACAAACCACAGGACAAGCAAGGAGACAGGAGAGACCGCCAGCACTGATTGTTAGACAAGAGGGGAAGGGATTCGCTGAAATAGTTAAGTCTCTGAAAGACAAACTACAAAAAACTGAAGCCTCAGAGATAATCAGGTCGATAAAAAAAAAATTACAGTGTCCTGATAACCATACAAGAGTACGAGCAAGAACTGGAGAGGAGGAAGAAGAACGGATAAAAGAACAGTACAAGGCAGCAAAACAGGATTTGAGAAGGGTAATAGAAAAGAGCAAACATGACAAATGGAAACAGCTGATAGAGGAACTAGATGAGGACATATGGGGAAACGACTACCAAATCGTGACAAAAAAAAATAAAATTACGATCGAAAACACCAGAAGACGAAAACACTAAGGCAAGTAACAAAGGAATTGCTGAAATGGGCATAGCCATAGCTCGGGAAAATACGGAGGCCTTACTACTGGCTGACAAAAGGCGAATAAAGGAGATAGAAGTGACCGTGGAAGACGCTAGTGTAAAGACATCCAACTCAGTTAGATACCTAGGAGTGTTCCTTGACAGAGCCTCCGCATGATGGCTCAAATAAAATACACAGCTGAAAAGGTCAACAAGATTATGAACCTTCTGTATAGAATAAGGCCAAGGGCAGGAGAATCAAAAATTTGCAAAAGAAGAATTATGGCCACAGCAGTAATATCAGCTGCCCTGTACACAGGCCCAACCGGGATAAATGCATTAAGATTTAGAAAATATAGAAGCATAAGAACAGATATATACAGGAGATACAAAATACAAAAAAAAAAGCTGCGAGGGAAGATTTGATGGAGCGATGGCAGGAGAAATGGCAGACATACGAAGGATGGACAGCAAATTTCATAAAGGACATCAAGCTATGGTGCCAAACAAAGTGGACGGAGACTGACTTCCACTTAACGCAGGCCTTCACTGGTCTGGAGTTTTTAGGTCTTATCCAAAGGAAATAAAGAAGGAGCCGACCAGTCAATGCTGGTTCTGTGGCGACGAAGACTCGCGAGAACACACACTATTTATCTGTGATAATTTTGAGAGAACAAGACTGATTGCAAAACTGAAATGTGGAGTAAGAATAGATAAGGACAACATAGCAGAACTGCTACTGCAGAGCGAATATAAATGGAAGAGCATCACAGAGATGCTACGCAGAATTATGAAAATAAAGGCGGAAGAGGAAAGGAAACGAGAGAATGAAAGAGCATGATACGTTTTTGCCTGCAAGAAGACAAATTGTTCGCAGCCCCTCTTGAAGTAATATTGAAAAGTGGTTTCGGGAGGGGGACCTGCGAAGAGTAGAGGAAGGGTTTTAGTGGGCGAGGGACTCACACTCCCTAGGTCGCCAGGACACCAATTCCCTAGGCGTGCATAATGCATTTCCAAACCCTACTATAAAAAAAAGATACATAAAATTTTCGGTCAGTTGCGGAAATGAAACTGCACAACTATAAAACTATCCGAAATAATCAATCATTCTCAAGTTAAAGTATATGTATAGATATCTAGCAGCCAGCAAGCGGTACATGTCTTGTGGCCTGAGGTTCGTGATCTGGGATACGCAAATTATTTGTTTTCGATTTTCGCAATGCAACATTTATAACAATTTTTTAGAGTTTTTATCGTCTGTTATATAATTTAAAGAGTGTTAATTTTAGTGGCATTTATGCGTCTGCATGCCACTAAAATTAACACTCTTTAAACATTTATAACATTCCAAAATACAAACATTCAGTAATATTTTACAGTCGTTTCAAAGCGAAAATGTTGGCATCTAAATAATTTAACCATCTTCGCAAACAATTCTACACTTTAAAGCATTCTCATGTGTTTAAATTAATTGAGTATCACATAGTGTCACTTGCCGTTCCATACATAGTAATACAACGAAACGAGAAATATTAGTATGCCGTTACGTTCTATGCCAAGACAAACGACGTACTAATTCAAGCCCAAGATGGATACCATGATACTTCGAAACATTTAATTCTTGTGGACACACCTGACACCACTCCCAGCAATATTATTTTAAAATGACCGCTTCCGTTTAACAGTACGTGTTATGAGCATATGGCAAAATTTTTGCAACAACTTTTCTAATCTAGCATTGGAAATTAAGTATGTTTTCCTCATTCTATGGAATTTCAGAGAAAAATATAATTTTAAAACAAATAATTACATACCTTTGGACCCTGGCAACACAGCCTCACCGGTAGGGACTAGTATTTCACCAGCGGGAATGGTTCGGGCACCTTCTGGAGTCACCATACCATCCGCTTCAGTCTTGGCTTGAACTCCTCGAATTGTTTCGCGCACCAAACAACCTTCCTCAGGTTTCCGCCTAGCTAATTCAGCTACGCTCTCAATGCAACGTACAGCTCGACCTTCTTCACTTAAAAGCTCAAAGTAGCCCGAGTAAGTTTCAGGTATCACTAGTCTAGCAAAAAAAAAACAAGTTATTGGTTTTTCTAAAACAAATTCTGGACTAACAGAAAAACTTACCGAGGTCCGACGCAAACCAGCCTTCTTCCCTCTTTAATTTTCACAGCTTGGGCAACTATTTTCTGCCTTTTCCCCACTGAAACGAGTAAAGCGGTGGACTGCAGACCCGGACTAGGCAGCGTGGGTACTCCCAGGCCACCATATTGGCCCTTAATGATTTTCACCACTGCCGGCAGATGGTGCTTCGCGACAAACTCCCTAAGGTAGCTGCCCTCGTCGGCCCATCGCGCAGCGGCCACTGTGATTTGAGCGTCAGTCGCCGCCATGTTGGCATTACTGTATTTTCAATTCTGGAACAAAAAAAAATTAACGTTAGTGGCTAGTTTATCATAGCTAATATCTGATAACCGGTATGCCATATTAGTGAAAAAAAAATTAAATCTTCATGATGGAGAGGTGACCATCGCTAGGAGTGACGACAAAATAATAATTTTAAAAAAGGCATAAACTTTTAAACAATTCAATTCACTAATACATTGGCGAGTTACATACCCCTGACTTCAATACTACGAATACTACGCCGCTTACTTGATATAGCGTAGATTATAGTAAGTGGCATCACTCACTGACAACTCAGCAGCAAACATGTTTTTTCGTGAAGAAAAAAAAACATTACCCACATACCTACCCTACATCTTTTATTTAATATATTTAGCTAAAAAAAGTGCTAATACTTATACAATCTTGAGATCGTGACTCTTGAACTTTTTTGAAACTCAAAACATAAAAAGTAGAACAGGTTCGTTCATAAAAGAAAAGATAATGGAAAATCATGTAACTAAAGCGAAAACTTTAATTTTACGGCAAACCTACCAAATTTACATTTAACTGAAAATCTAGATTAGATAACTTCAAATAAGTAGAGCCTTTAAACTTTTTACTAATGGCGCGCTAGCGCTCTTGGCAAAATAAATATTCCAACTTCGCTTGCTTACTTTACAGCATAAATTTCATTGGTGAAGCACTCTGCTCTGATATAATAAATTACCTAAAATTTACAAGTTTGCATGCTCTATAGCGTGAATTTATGAGAGTTAGATCGTAGTTTTGGAATATTTTTGTGTTAAAATCTATTTATGTGAAAGCTGACGTAAAACTGTAAATTAAAATGAAATACTTTTTGAACTCCAAGGAAGACCGTTGATATTCTGGTACATATCCAATCCAAATTTTAGTGTTTTCCAATCGCTTCGCTTCGCAGTGTTCCCAAAATCCTTGACAACCCATAGTAGCAGTACTAAGAAGCTTTTGAATTCAGGCTAGATATATGGTCTGGGCCAATCTCGTAGGTACCTCCTGGATTTTTTCTAGGCTCATCTCTATGCCATTTGAAAACCAGAGAAAGTTCACTTTTTACTTAAAGATACACTTCTTTGAAATGCATTTAACTAGGTTGGCGCTTCGAATCCTGGCAGAAACTTTCTTCAAGCCCGGAAGCCAGCAGTATGACATGTTCTTTATTTTGTTATCAAAGGAGCAACCGTAACCAGCTGACTTTCGAGTGGCGGACAATTAAACATGGAAAGCTGAAGCATAATTCCTCACTGTTTAAGTTTTCTCCTATGTTCCTATGAGAAATTTTCAGCTTTTGCGATATTAGTTCTCTTAAAATATTGCACCACGTGTGTGGGATGTTACACCCCCAGAAATACGCACGCTGGAAGTCCATATACTGAGTGGTAATCTACAGCCAGGGAGCAATTCCGGCGGTAACACAGCTACCGATAGAGCCACCCATGCCGGTAAGGCCTCGAAATACTGAAGAAGAAGCTGAGAAATTTCCCACGCAGCCTCTGACCGAGATTGGGCGGCTGCAAACAGCGTCTGTTCCCCATGTTAGGAGCGGCTGAATAAAAAAAACTCTTACAACCCGTCCAGCCAGCGTGGGAGAGTAAAGGGCCATACATAATTTCCAAACGCACGGAAAGTTACCACGGGCGGGTCAATCCCGCACCCCTACCGAGGTCTGCCTCAAGGATTCTGGGGGAAGCAAAAAATCGTCACACTACAAAACACTCTATATTGCAACACATAACATTCGAACACTAAAAGACCCAGATAAACTTTGTCAACTGGAAGACGAACTCTCGAAAATAAAATGGGACATTATTGTTACATATAGGGTTGTTATTGAACGTACCCCCTTATGTAGGCAGCCACTTGTCACCAGTCAAATGTCAAAAAAAAGCCAGGCGTAATTTTGCCTGCGTTTTTATTCTCATCAAATTTTACCGATGAATCCACCATTCTATGTCGGTCATTGTCATTTTCCATTCAATAAACAAAGACAGCTCGATGTAGTCACCGATTAGAATAAAAACGAGGGGTTTTGTTAACGCAAACACGGATGTGTTTGAGGGTACAGGTTAAACCAATGACATCAAAACACAGATAGACCGAACAATAAACAAAATTTTCGTATGACAACATCTCTCTGTCTCTTTTGGGTCTTTGTGCTATCCCCACCACTGAGAATGCCAAATTTTGTCTTGAATCCCTAAATAATATATTTTTCTCCTCTAATTAACATTTTCAATTTTATTTCTGAACTCAATTTGGCAACAGCAGATTATAGCAAAATACCGCCCAGAAGCGGCTTGTTGAATGGCAGGCAGGTGTTGATTGTAGTAGCTAGCTATCTTTATTGCAAACAAGGATTATTCATTAGCGTTAAACAAGAAACGACTAACACGATATTGGTACTCCCAGAATAAAGGGGTTGGATCGAATATTTTCAGTTTATTTGTCAATTTGTTATTTTATTTATTCATCCAATTAAATTTCGAGATATATTCACGTGTGGGCGGGGTTTTTTACACCATTTTGAGCAATGATGTCTCCCTACCCCGACCCCGCGAGCAACTCACCTCCCCTGGCCCATGGGTGGTCTTGTCAACACAACAAATAATAGTTTATGAATGGGATGATCCGTCTATCTGTGTTTTGATGTCATTGGGTTAAACTCCCTTTGTGTATAAAATTGTTTTTTCTACAAACGTGTTGAAAATCCAATTTTTAACACCCCCCCGAAGCATTAAAAATGTTACTTTATCGCACTAGTGCCATAAAGTCATTATAGCACTAGTGTTAAAAATGAAACATCAAATTTTGAGAGCGAACGTCAAAAAAAGTTCGTATTTTTAGTTATTTATATTGATATTAATGGTGAAATTTGAACAACTGAGGTAGCCCGATTGGCCGCCTCATTTATATTTTTCAAGGGATCGATGCAAACCTCTTTTTGTTCTGTATTTTTAGCAAAAAGCATTACTGACCACGACAGACTTTCAAGAAACTGACAAGACATTTCATTACCTGTAAAACAAGGTGCTACTAGTTGTTTGGATTTTTGACAAATTATTGTCAAATTCAATAATTTTATGTAGAAAAGATGCTTCCAATTTATTATTCATATAAAAATCCAATTTGTTACTAGTTATTGCTTTTTATTGCCGTTTGTAGAAAAAATATTGTATGATATTCGTGTTAAAAGTATTTTTAAGGCACTTATGTGAATTGCAGAATTCGCTTCGCTCATTCTGTAAACTTTCACATGCGTGCCTTAAAAATGTACTTTTAACACTTATATCATAAATAACTATTAAAAAATAATTATTGTCTAACTATAGGCGGTTGCAGACGGTTGCCAGATACAGTCAAATCAAAATTGACAGTAACACTAAAAAAGTTAGTACAGAGAGATGTTATAGAGAAGGCTGATGAACCTTCGGAATGGGTGAATAATATCGTGTGTGTGGAAAAGGCAGATGGAAGTTTGAGAATATGTTTGGATCCATTGTATTTGAATAAAAAATTATGTTTTGATAGGCATCCTATTCCCACACCTGAGGAGATCAGAAGAAAGCTTCAAGGTGAGAGCATTTTCTCTGTGTTAGACATGGGAGATGGATTTTATCATATTTCACTAGTAGCAAAATTTGTACGTTAATAACAGCGTTTGGTAGATATAGGTTTAAACGACTACCATTTGGTTTGGTCTCAAGCCCAGAAGTTTTTCAAAGAATCAATGAAAAAATGTTGGGTGACTTAAACGTACAAATATACTATAATGATATAATTATAGCATGTGTTGACGAAAAAGTGCATGATGAGATTTTGAGGTGTGTCATAGACAGAGCGAGAAAGTATAATAATTGTAAGTTTGATCATGAAAAATTTCAATATAAAGTTAGTGAAGTTGAATATTTAGGGCAAATACATTCTAAAGAGGATGTAAAACCTGATGGTAATTACATACAAGCGATTTTGGCGTTAGAAACTCCAAAGAATAAAAAAGAACTATTAAGAATTCTTGGTATGGCAAATTATTTATTCAAGTATGTATTTACCACATTTGTCGAATATTGTATTACCGTTAAGGGCTTTAATTGAAAATAATGTAGAATATATTTGGACTAATGAGTAAGAAGAAGCTTCTAAAAGGTTAAAAAGTGTAATGAGCAGTCTCCCGACTTTAAAAATTTCTTAATAGTTAGTTACTTATAGTAATACAAGCAGATGCAAGTCAGGGTAGTATATGTGGGTGTTTGTTGCAAGAAGAACAACCTATTGCCTTTTGTTCGAGAAGTTTGACAGATAATGAGACTAGATTTGCAAAAATTGAGAAAAAGTATCTAGCAGTGTATTTTTGCTTGTTGAAATTTCATCAGTTTGTTTATGGTCCGATTAAATTAACGATCTGCTGAAGTTAAACAGTTTTCTAAGCTACAGGAGGATTTGGATGTTAAATATGGAATAGTTTCTGATAGTGATAGTATCTGTATACCCAAAGCGCTGAGGTTTAATATGCTCAAATAGCTACACAAAACTCATTAGGGAGTTGAAAAAGCTAAAGCAAGAGCAAGGAAACATTTCTACTGGCCTGGAATGTCCGTTGAGGTACAAGAATTTATTGGTAAATGTCGACTATGCGAGATATAATGGTAGAAATTGTACAAAAGAGCCACTAATTTGTAATGAAGTACCCAAACTTCCGTTCGAGGTTGTAGCTTCTGATATTTTGAACTTCGGGGGAAAGTCATATTTAGTTGTAGTTGATTACTATAGCAACTGGATTGAGTTAGTTGAACTGCAAAACAAAAGTGCTGATGAAATCATCAAACATCTCAAAATATTATTTTCAGCCCAAGGTTTGCCAAGGAAGTTCGTATCTGATAATGTTCCATATAATAGCTTCAGGTTTAGAGAATTTTGTGAAAGATTTGTTATTGACTGTGTTTTCTCGAGTCCAAGATATGCAAGAAGTAATGGGTTAGCTCAAAAATCTGTA